CCTGATTAGCATGACAAGGCCCTGAGTTCAAATGTGATACCACTAAAAAAAAAAAAACCTCAAAAAACTATATACATGGAAGAGGCTCAGAGTAAATTCAGAATAGATCTATATTAAGATAGAATGCTGGTAGCAGTAAATAAAAATCCACACTGTGCCCAAGCAGTATGTGTGTAAATTGGATGCGGTTTCTCTTATGCAAAATTCAACCCATTTTGGGTTCCTGTGACTCATGGTTCCTTCCTGTACTGGATTACAGATCTAGTCCTTTTTCTGAGGCTGCCCAGCTAAACCCAGCCTGGGAAAGGATATTTCCCTGGCTCTGGTGTTGTTGACTTGCATCTCAGAGTACAAGTCCTTCTATGTTTATTGCATTGGTGCCTCCTGAGTTTGTTTCAGGGTAAGATGAGGTAGGTGGGAGGTAATAATAGAAACCTAGTAAGCTAGGGATGAGATTGAGGAGAACCCGAGAGGTAGAGGTCCCCATCCCTTGAAGCAGCAGTGTTTTAGGAACCCTTGAGAGAAAAACGAAAACTTCTCTTGCTTTGGTCCTCCAAAGATCATTCATTACCTAATCTAGAAAACCTCAAATACAGTTTTTAATTTGAGTTTTATGTCTTATTTAAAGTAATACATTGACATTATTCAAAACTCAAAAGAACTAAGGAAATCTTCTATGAAAGTCTTTCATTCCTGACTTTTTTTTTGTTTTGGTCGGTTGTGGGGCTTGAACTCTGGGCTTGGGTGCTGTCCCTGTGCTCTTCATCTCAAGGCGAGCACTCTACTGTTTGAGCCACAGCGCCACTTCCAGTTTTCAAGTGGTTTTTATTGGAGATTAGTGTCTCACAGGGCTGGGAAGGTGGCTCAGTGGTAGAGTGCTTGCCTTGCATGCCTGAGGCCCTTGGTTCAATTCCTCAGCACCACATAAGCAAAAAGAAAAAAGCCAGAAGTGGCACTGTAGCTCAAGTGGTAGAGCGCTAGCCTTGAGCTGAAGAGCTGAGGGACAGCCCAGGCCCAGAGTTCAGGCCCCACGACCGGACCCAAAAAAAAAAAAAGGTGTTTCACAGACTTTCTTGCCCAGGCTGGCTTTGCACTGCGACCCTCAGATCTCAGCCTCTTGAGTAGCTAAGATTATAGGTGTGAGCCACCGGTGCCCAGCTTCTCATTCCTGACTTTCAAGGCAAATAATGACAGCAGTTTCTCTTCCAGTGAGAATTTATGCCAACGAGCAAAAGGTGGAAAAGGTATATAAATTTGTATTTACATACATACATGCTTAATATAACATGTTAAAGATAACACAAAGGGCTTTCTACTTATTTTTATGGTTGAATAGTATTCCATTACGCACATTGTAGTTTTCTTAGCTAATTCCCATGAACCTACGTGATTTCACAGGTGTATGAGGGGCTACAGGGCCCACAGTCATATGCTTTTATATCTTTGATGGATAATGCCAGATTCCTTCCACACAGATTCCACACCACAGGTCACCTCGCCTCTGTGGAGAGCAGGACAAACTGCGATGTAGGCCGTGGGAAGAGGCTTGTTCAGGAAACTGGTTGGAAATCCCTGGCATGCTGTATACCTGATAATATAAACAACACAGGAAGTAAAGTCTGCCCTGCCCTCATTCAGAGTCTCAGAGGGATTACAGGAGCTCCATATCCATGCTATAAGTAAATAGACCAATATTGATTGCAACTAGACCTCTGCAACCCCCAGCCTCTGCACCAACCCTGCTGTAAAAATAAACAACCTGAACCACCAATAGAAACAGTGGTATAGCTCCTAGTTCATGGGCAGTGGGAAAGGGTGGTGGCTTCCTAAATTATGTTTCTTATTTACTTTCTTATTTCTCCAAACACGACATCAGTCACCCTAGAATAACTCATTATGCATCTCTACAAATGGTGGTCATGGTCTTAAATAACTCTGACCGTAATGCCATTGTCATAGCTAACACATTTATCAGAAATCACTTAGCATTATCAACTGCCCCATCCATGTAACAAAAAATGTTCCCAGTTGATTAAAACATGTACTTAAAATTATTTTTGTTTAGACTGGTGCCCATTCAATATTTGTTCCATCTCTCATCTAGAACAGTCTTTCTGGCTTTTATTCTGGATCCTTTTTCCTACACAATGTCTCACACCACAGATGTGTGTTTTTTTCTTTGTGGTCTCATTTAGCTTGTTTTTCGAGTCTTTCTGCTTTGAAACAAAATTTGTGCCAGTCCTGAGACTTGAACTCAGTACTTGAACACTGCATAAAACAAGTGCTCTATCATTTGAGCCACAGCTCCAGTTCTAAGTTTGGGTGCTTGTTTTTATGGTTGTTGTTGTTGTCGTTGTTTTGGTGATTAATAGGAGGTAAGGGTCTCATGGACTTACCTGCCTGGCTGGCTTTGAACAGGGATCCTTGATCTCCACTGCCTGAGTAGCTAGGATTCACAGGCATGAGCCGGTGGTACCTGGCTCTCTTTCTACTTTCTAATGCTAAGTGATATTAGCATTGAAGATCTGGTTGGGTTCAGGTTCCATTTTATTGGTGAGAATTCAGCATGGCTGATGCTTTAGTGATGGCGTTAATGACTCCTTGAAGAAATACGAGGTTAGACTCTTCTCTCGAGTCTCTCTTGAGGATGTCTATAGAACCTTTTCTTCAAATTGGCTTCTAATTTCTCTTCTTTTAAACCACCACTTTCTATAGTCATATCAGCTGTTTGAGTCTCAGGTGAGTAAAGAATTTAGGAAGTAGAAATGACACAGTTGGACTCTCTGGTCAGTGCCTGCCTGCCCATGCCCCTCCCCTCAGTTTTCTCTAGAGCAGTAGTGTCTAATGGAATATTTGGTACTTATAGAAATGTTTTATGTCTTTACTTTCCAATGTGGTATCCTGGAGCTATAGGTGCCAACTGAGCACTTGAATTATAGTAATTAGTGTAACTGACATAAAGGCCTTTATGTAAGGACTGGCTACCATCTTGGATAAGGTAGTTTTAAACTCATTTTAAAAGGAAGCATAGACCTTTTTCACCTCGCTTTGGACCTAACTGTTTCAGTTGAAAAAAGAGATTAAAAATATGTGAAAAGTCTTTTGTTTGATGATATACACAGTAAAAAGAATAATTTTTATATGTGACTTCGAAAGGTGATCAAATTTCCAAAAGTATTCAAAAGGTAATTGTTTTCAAAAGTCTGGCAACATTTTAAATAATCAAATATTCATTGTCTTTTGTTATTTAATGAGGCATTGTGGTTATCTCTTTAGGTCACCCATTAGCCATTTAACTCGGTATCTTTAACATCAGTATAATATACTGATTAATGTTTATATTACCATTGGTTCAACAAAAGTCATGTTTCATATATAGAATGGCTTTTGCTGAGCTGCTACTGAATTTGGTGAGTTTACCAGAGAGGTAAAATAAATGACTAGTTTGAAGTAGTAAAACTACTTAAAGATAGAACCTGGATGGAAATCCAGCCTCTGGCTGCCATTACATTCCTCTAGGATTGTGACACTTCGCTCTCAACTGGCCTTCAGACCTATGCTCAGACCCTACCTTCTCACCAAGTTGCTCTGTTCAAGATCTTATTGTTTTCTCTCCCCTACTAGAGTAACTAAAAGGGGATTTTTGCAGGCCTCCAAGAACCTAGATGATCCTCCATGTTACTTCACTACCTTACTGCCCACTTTTTTCCAACTTGCCCTGCTCCAGCCACAGTGGCCTCCTTTCATTTTAGAGTCTGTAAACTGATAGGGCCTCCTTTAAAAACATGTTTCATCCAGATATCTAAATGACTCACTCCTCTACCTCCTGTAAGTTTCTAAATAAATGTTGTTTCCTTTGTGAGACCTTCCCCGAGCATGTGTTGTCCTTTTCCTTACTCACTTTATTTTTAATTTACTCTCTCATCACTGAAAGCCACTATTCCATACACACACACACACACACACACACACACACACACACATGGAGTTCTATGAAGTACAGGATCTTCCCCTTCCCTGTTTTGTCCATGGCCATTTTTCAAACACTTAAAACAGTGCCTGATACACGATAAGTGAAGAGTGAAGCTCAGGTGTCCAATTTCAAAGCCACTGAATACTGATGAACACCTGCTTTACATTTTATATGTGCACACATTGCTACTTGCCTATACCTGTTAACTCCTCAGAGTTACTTTAAGATGCATGATGTCATCAGAGTAACCCATGCAAATATATGCAAATAAGCTACTGCCTGTAGCTTCAAGATCACTCCTGGCACAATACTAACCAATCTGTCACTTGTGGCTTTTAGTAGGGCTAGATGAGGTTAACAACTGTGGACAAGAAGCTTCCACATGTGAAAATTAGGCTCCAGCATTGAGGAGTAGCTTTCTTGCTTATCAGTTTTTGGTGACTTTGTCCCCTGCATAAGCAGGTATGCTGAGCTTATTATTGAAGATGAAGATGGGCATATGAGAGGATGGTTAAGGAATATAGTACTTTTTGTAGCTCTGGTGGCTCATGCTTATAATCCTAGTTTCTCAAGGAGGCTGAGGTTTTAGGATTAAGATTCAAAGCCAGCCTGGACAAGAAAGTCATGAGCAAAAAGCCAAGAGTGGAGCTGGAGCTCAAGTGGTAAAGCACCGACCTTGAGTGAAAAAGCTAAAGAGTAGTTCCCAGACCCTGAGTTCAAGCCCCAGTGCTTGGAAAGAAGGAAAAGAAAGAAAGAAAAGGAAGAAAGGAAAGGAAGAAAGGAAGGAAGGAAGGAAGGGAAGAAGGAAGGAAGGAAGGAAAGAAGGAGAGAGGGAGGAAGGGAGGGAAAGAAGGAAAGGAAGAGAGAAAAAGAAAGAGAAAACTAGAAAGGGAGAAGGAAGGGATGGGGGAAAGAGAAAGATAAAGAGAAAGAAAGGGTCTGATATTATGACTAAGGTACAAGTTTTGTCATTTTGCCATTCAAATCACCTAATATAAATCATATTTCTCTTTTTGAAAAAAAATAGGTTATTCTTGGTGAGAATTTGACTTCAAATTGTCCAGAGGTGATCTATGAAATTAAAGAAGAAACACCTGTGTTCTACAAACTTGTTCCTGATCCCGTGAAGGACACATACATCTATCTAACTGCTGGGAAAGAGGTAGGTAGGAATGCTAGTTATTGCTTCTGACTTAGGAATAAAAATTATTTAATCAATGTCATTATCTCGCGGCAAAGCTTTTACTTTGAACTACTGAGTTTAAATGTTGCTTCAGGCTTTGAGAAGACCCACAGTGGGTCACAGACATGGAATTAAAAACCACCCTGGCTGTCAGTAAGTAAGTAAGAAATATTACCTATTTAGACGATTTTATTATTGGTCATATTTCCAGTGCCTAGGTTTTCAGAGGAGGGCATGCTTACAAATGGACGCATGGTCGGCAAGGTAACTGGATTTGCACATTGATTGTGTGGACACTGTAAGGGATAGATGCAGTTACGAATATACCCAATGGGACTGGCTTTGGAATATGGGGTTAATGTCAGGCCACAGTCTCATGCACATTCATGAACCAGGAAATATACAGCACTCACCCTCCTTCTCTTAATTTATCTGCTGTTTAAGGTTGTTTCCCTCCCCCCTCCTGCCTACTGAAATAAAAACACTGCCTTTCAAACATTTTCTTCATCTTTACAAAGTATTCTTGCTGAGGGAAGAGGAGAGAAAGCCGATTTTTTTTACAGAAATCTCACCGACAGTGTGTTTATTATCACTATTCCCTGTGTAGTGTGATGCATACACATATAATAAAGAATACTAATGAGCTGTGTTGGTAACTTAATGAGATAGTTACTTTTGTTTTATATATGAAGAACCGAAGACGTTGAGAAGCTTCAAAATTAATTAAATAAGGATATGTATATATCATTTTATTCATGGATGATATACATACATGTGTATCTCATGTGTGTGTGCGCACACATGTGCTCATGCATGTGTTTCTTTGTGAGATCCTAATCATAAAACCTATGATAGATAAGATTAGGTGCTAAGTTCTTTCTGGAGAATGTTCTGGCATGGTGGTTTTTGGCCTTGTCTATTTGAACACACCAATTGCAAAGAAGATAACAGGATGTCACAGATGCCCTCATGCCACCTCATTTTCCATTCCTTTCCTTTTGGCCTAGGCAGGACAACACTGACTGGTCTGCAGGTGATTTTTGAGTCACAGAGTAAAGGTAATGGTACTTTATAGTTTCTGGTGTTGTCAAACTAGAAATGACTGCGTCAAGAAGTCTACCTCTGAATCTCCTACAGCTTTGAAAGCAGGCTCTTCACCACACCGAATCTTCTGTGCTGGCTTATATCACTATTCAAACACTCTTTATCATGTTTCTTCCCTAGATCTCATATTTGCAAGATTTCTGTCCACCCAACAAATGCATATATTAAGTAACCATTTCCATGCTGATACTTTATCAAAGATGCCTGAGATCTGCTAGCCAGAGTCTAGACTGCATTCTACACAAAGCCAATAAAATTCCAATCCCCAAAGCAAAGACAGTGGGTATCTGGCTTCATCTGTGTTTTTTCCTCCATTTAGCCTTGTGAAGTATTGCCAATTGCACATAAGTCTTTATTACTACCCACATAGATAGTTACAGAACCCTAGAATGTAGAACTTTTAGCTGAAGCTTGGAGAAAACCACACACAGTTAAGAGGTTCTCACATTTTAAAGGGAAAGAGTTCTAGTCTCTGGTCATTCAAAGCTTGAAGTACCAGAAAGAGTTTTCAAGTTGGTATCAAAACTGATGCCCCAAGCCAGGACCTAAAAGCTCACTAGTAACCCTAGCTACTTGGTAGGTTAAGATCAGGAGGATCATGGGTTTGAGGCCAGTCTAGGAATATAAATAAGACTTCAACCCATAATAGTGGTGGTATGTGTCTGTTATTAAAACTACAGTGAAAAGCAAAAAATGGGAGGTTCATGGTCTAGGGATGTACTTGGGCAGGAAGCAAGACCCTATCTAAAAAATAACAGATGCAAAAGGACTGGAGATATGACTCCATAATAAAGAGCCTGCCTAGAAAGCTTGAGGTCCTGAGAACAAAACAAGCAAGAAAATCCTGATCATTTCTGTGTTCCTCATTTGGGATTAATGCTAGAGATCCTATGAGGAGGCAGGCCTTTTGCTAGACTCTTGGGGAGATATTAACAGCCATTCTACAAAGCAATGGGAAATTCATAAAATGGCACACAATGTGATTAAACATACTCATATGTAAATATGTGTATTGACGAGAAGTACTCACATAGTACGTTAGAGGCCAAAGTCCAGTGTAATATTCCCAGTATCTCTCATAAACATAGGTTTATACTTTTGTGTTGAAATGCATGAAATAGTTGTCCTCAGTCATTCTCAAGACCAAGACCTACCTTCCCCAGAATGTTCAGAGCAGGCTTGGTTTAGTGACCAGATATGGTCCTGTGATCGGGCATGATCCTGTAATCAGGTGTGGTCCTATGATCTGGTGAGATCTTGGGATCAGATGTGATCATGCGATCACATCTTACTTGAACTCCTGAATTTTACAGCACTTAGCATATGCAAAGACTCTCAGAAGCCCTGTGCTAAGAAAATCCATTGAGCCTTTTCAGTCCAAGGTTTTACATTTGTTAGACCGTGGAACTCTTTTCTCACATAATAGCAATAGCTAATATTTATGACATACATTATTTAGTATGTGTCAGACAATGTTCGTAATAACCCCATGAAGTCAGTGGTCCCAGTGCTATTTTATAGATGAGGAAACAAGGTTAGAGAGATTACACGACACTTATTAAAATCCCTCAGATCCAAAGAGGTTTTTGTGAGCTTATGAGGAAATAAATATCCACATTCTGGTTAATTCTGGCTCCAACTCATGGTCTGCCAGCTGCAACTGTCAGCCGCCTAGAAGCCTGAGAAATGGAAGGGCACAGTTGTCCCCCATGCAGGCAGGACCTTCCTCAGAAAATGCCTACCTTTTTCCTTTTAGAATACTTTATTCTTTACTTTTCCTTTCTAGCATGGCTAGCCTCCCATTATAATGAATCCCACGAGTTTCTTTACTACCTGTGGACTATGCATGCTTTCAGAAAACGGGCCAGGCAATCCTCAGGGATTTGCTGCCTTCCTTGGCCCTGCCCCAGGTCTAGTCTACCCAGCATGGCTGCCCTGTACACTACTGTTTGCTAATACTTGGAGAGGCTGTGACCTGAATACTCTGTCCATTTCTTTTCTCTGTCTCTCTGTCTGTCTCATCTCTGCCTCTCTGTCTCTGTCTCTCTCTCTGTGTGTATGCTGGTACTGGGGTTTGAACTCAGAGCCTTGTGCCCTGGTTTAGCTTTCTTGTTCAGGCTGATGCACTTGAGCCATTTCTCCATCCCAGCATTTTGATGGTTAATTAGAGATGAAGTCTCTCAAACTTTTCTTCCCAGGCTTGTTTAGGGTCTTCCAAGTCTCAGCCTCCTGAGTAGCTAGTATAACAGATATGAGCCGCCTTGGCCAGATCCATTTCTTTTATTTTCAGTTGCACTGGAGGGGACCTGAGCAAGCACACCAAGAACTGCGGCGATGGAGCTACTCTAGACAGGCTGAGGGGGATCTGGTCCCACTCTTTATTCCCATATTCAGTGCCCACCTGGGGACTGGTGACCCTCCTGGAGAAGCCATTTACTGTTCCCAAATGTCCCTTTCGCAAGTACTACTGACCATAATGAAAAACCCTTATATGAAAACCGGGTGACTTGATCTCATGAGCCCTGTGGAAATCATTCTTCACAGGTCAGACACCGGGGCCCCACCCCAGATAGCACAAGGGTCTGCATGACAGGCAAGTCTGGGAATACAGTAGATACGGTATCTTCTGGGACTGGTTCCAGGTATCCTGAGAATACCAAAATCTATAGATGCAAGTACCTCTCATAAAGTTTACATATAACCTGTGCACATCCTCCCATATACTTAAATCATCTTTAGATTCATTATCATGCTGGATAACAGTGTCAGGGTGATATATAAACAGCTAACCCGTTGCTATACTGTATTGTTTAGTGATACTGATGTGAGCAAAATATGCGTATATACAGACAATATGTTTGATCTGTGGTTGATTGTGACTGCAGAAACTGCAGGTGGGGGAAGAAGTAGGAATGACCTTACGCATTTTCCAAAGTGCCCCCCCAAATGATTCTTACACAACTGTACCATATCCTGGACTATAATCATATCCTCGAACTTGAGACCTGCCACCTGGTGCCATTATAGAGACATTCCGAGTTCAAGTTGACAAATATTTTCTCTGTGGCTCTTCATCAGATAAGGTGTTATAATTTTATTTATTTATTTATTTATTTTCTGGTTGTTGCTTCTAATTCCATCTGAACCCCTGGCATGTTTATTTTTTAGGTGAGGAGAATTCATGTGGCAAACTGCAGTAAGCACAAATCCTGCTCGGAGTGTATAGCAGCAGCAGACCCTCACTGTGGCTGGTGCCTCTCCCTACAAAGGTATTTCCTAAACGCTTTCTCACCGACTCAGGTTTTCTAGAATGTCACGTGGCAGAACACTTGTTGCCCTACTTTGTAAGATCCATTCCGAAGACTTGGGTGGGTGGGTGGGGGGAACAGATCTCTTTCCACCACCGAAATACCCTATTGTAGCTCTAATTCTCAAAGATGATGCCAACCAAGTCAAATGACCTGAACTTTACACAGGCCTACCCAATCCGGGTTGGAGGGTGGTAGGGTGGGGGGGTGGCGGGGAGGCAGACAGAGGGACAGGTATGTGACATCCAAAGGAGAGAGACCAGATCAGGCAGATTTGCTCTTTTTCTTTTTTCACTACAGAGTTTCCCAAGATTGGAGACTGAGAGAGAGAAAGGGGGGGGGGAGGGGAAGGAGGGAGGCAGGCAAAAGGTTCTCCCTCTGAGAAGATAAAAGAATAGGAATGTTTGAAAATTTTCAAATGAATTCTCATCATGTCATGTATTCTGTTTCACTCTGTGGAAGGCTTGTTATTGATGGCGTTGTCTCTTCCTGTACCATACAGCCGTGGGCCTGATGTACAATCTTGGTCTCCAGGCAGAACCTGCCCAGCCTGGTCTTGAATTACGATGTACATACGACCCATCTAGGCTCAGGGGCGACTTGTAGAGGCTTCCTCACCATGGCAGTTCTTAGCGTCGCTGGGACCGGCCTGGTTGGATTCGCTGTTGCCATGGCAACCCAGCACTCGGGCTCTTGCTATAGACGCAAGGAGGAGAGAGCTTTCCTGCAGCTCAGGCAGAACAGGGGAAAAAAATAAACCACATAACCGTGTCTGTCAGTTTGGTGTTTTCAGTTTTTAAAGGTGAAAAGGGATAGGAAAGAGTAGAGCAGGTGAAGAGATGCTGAAGGCCCAACAAGAGGGCAGTTGTGGAAAGAAAAGCGGGCCAGAAAGTGAATTGGGGTTCTGATAAGGCAGGAAGCCAAGAGCAATGAAGAGAGGCAGGGGGAAATATAATGTAAGCAAGAGGTTCAGGAAACAAACTAAAAATATGGGGATGGAATTAATTAAGAGTTTGTGGAGGAAGTCACAATCTGAGCTGTCGCAAGAAAAGTGATTGCCCTTGCCTCTTGCTGTACCTCCTTACCAGGCTGTTTCCGTCAGAATCTCTGGCAGACAAAAGAAGCAGGCCCAGGAAAATTCTCATGAATAATTGTAATTGGGCAGGAACCTTTTCTTCTTGTTGCTTGCCTGAGTAGAGTTTAAGAAGTGAACTGACATGGCCAGCATTCGTCAGTTGCACATGCACTAAGGGTCTTGCTGTCATCTTTCTATTTATGATCTATGCTGTTGTCTGAGGTGCTGTTGTCTGTGTTTGCAGAGCTGGGTGATGGTGGTGAGGGTGGTAGCAATGAAAGGACCACATGTAGGTTGTGTCTACTCATTAGATAAGATCAGGTCCGGAGTGGATGGGAGGTATACAAGAGGAATTTGGGGATTGGGTGTGTTTAGATGACCCTTATGGGATTCTTAGGATCAGAGCAGGAAGAGAGTATAGGTTAAGGAGTGAAGTTTGAGAGGTAAGTTATTGCAATGTTTAGGGATCAGAGAGGAACAGAAAAAAAATTCAGAGGGTGTGGTTTCCATCAAACCAGGGAAAAGACCAAGGGCTGGGGAGGCATCTACCTGTAAGGACAGTTAGTCCACTAGACTTGCCTAGAGATGATTGGTGATAGTCACTGAAATTGGTGTTGGAAGATGGGGCTAAAGCAAAGAAGACAAAGGGAAGAGGAACATTATTGAGAAAAGCTGGAAGGAAGAGTAAGTAGAGTCAGTCCCAAGAATTTTAGGTGTGTATATACGTGTGTGTGTGCGCACGTGTGCACCAGTTTGGGGGGCTTTAACTCAGAGCCTGGACTTTATCCCCGAGCTGCTTTTGCTCAAGACTACCATTTGAATCACAGCTCCACCTCTAGCTTTTTTTTTTTTTGGTCAATTTAGTGGAGATGAGAATCTCATAGACTTCCCTGAACTTTGCTCCTCGGATCTCAGCCTCCCGAGAAGCTACTATTATACATGTGAGCCACTGGTACCCGGCAACTTTTAGTTTGTTTAGGAGGATGGAGTAGTTATGCATTTTTGTGCTGCTGGGAAAATTCCAGTAGAGAGGAAGAAACTGATGACTCAGGAAAGACAAGAGAGGATTATATTGTCTTTTCCATAGATGGCAGGAAAAAACAAAAAAACAAAAAACACCTATGTCCAGCAGAGAGGCCAACCTGAAATGAGAGCCCAGGCAGCTCTTCCCCAGTTATGGGCTATGTGGAAAGGGGAAAGAGACTGGCCCTGGTGTGAGTCGGGGGAAGAAGCATGTTCAGTATATTTTCACACTGCTGCCATCATCCTCATGACTTAAGTGAGCTCTGAGGAGAGATGAGAGAGCAAGAGTGAAATAGGAGTTGGGACAGAACCCCAAGCAAAGAAAAGATAGCTTGGTTGATAGGCAGCATTAGGGCCCACTGGAGGTTGAGGGTCTTGCCTTTGGAGCAGAGGAGAAAGCAAGGTTCAGCCCGAGAGTTGTAGCTGTCAAGCAGGGAAGAGTTAGTAAGGACGCAGGGAACTGAGGATGCTTGGGAATGATGGATGGGAAGAATGGATGCTGTTGATTGGCCATTGGAATGTATGGAGGACCCTGTGGAGCAAAGGAGGGGAATAAGGATGCACTCACTGGTGAAGGAGTGAAAGAGTGAGAAGACAGTAGGAGCTCTGCCCTGAAGGTTGTGTTTCAGGAGCTAGGGGAGGAGTAGAGGATGGACTGTGGGAGGCCCCAAGTGGAGGTCATGGAGGAGGGGACAGAGTTACTGGCAATCACTAGGTCTGGGGAATCATTGGTTCCTGAAACTGGGATGGATTAATGGAGGACAGGTGGCCAGGAGGGGTCAAGGAACTGATGGAGGTGGTCACTAGTCCATCAGATGGCTCAGCGATCTGTGTGGGAGTTGCAAGAACACGGATGTGCCCAGTGCTGAAGAAAGTGTGGAGGGAAGAAGTCAGGAAATGGAGGGAAGTTGCCCAGGGGCAGTGGTGGGGGGTGGGGAGGGAAGGCTACGCTGTGGATATCTGCTTAGAAAGAGAGACAAAGGGTCTCAAAGAGGCAGTAAGCCTGAAGTGGACCACCTATGATAGGGAGAGGTAGCAGCCAGCTCTGGTAGGACATGGAGAAGCTGTGTCCCCAGGCAAGAGCCACTTTCAGTAGATCCAGGCATAGGGGAATATCAAAGGAGAAGTCTATTTTCAATAGAAGACTATTTTCTATAACTTGCTTCTCCTATCTTTGCTCTCTCTCTCTCTCTCTCATTGGTCCTGTGGCTTGGACTCAGAGCTTCAGTGCTGTCCCTCAGCTTCTTTTGCTCAAGACTAGCACTCTTATCACTTGAAGCCAACTTGGGTAGGAAAGTCCATGAGACTTTTATCTCCAATCATCCCACAAAAAGCTGGAAGTAAAGCTATAGCTCAACTGGCAGAGTACCAGCCTCGAGCACAAAAGCTGAAGGACACTGCTCAGGCTCTGAGTTCAAACCCCAGTACTGGCACAAGACAAAAGCACATGTTATATGAGGTAGATGAAGTGATTGGTAGGCTGAAGGAATGACAGGTTGAGACTTGAAACTTAAGTATTAAGTCATGGAGTGATGGAGCAGTGGCCCATCCCTGGGCTTCCAAATGTCTTCATTTTGGCCTAAGATGAAATAAGATTAAGCCTCAGATCCATGACTCATGTTAAGCTCCCAGAACCATTCAAAATGAGGAACTCTAAAGGGGGTGTTTGCTTATAACTGTAGAACATCCCACTGTGTTTGTTTTAAATGTCACAGATTTATTTAGAAAAAATAATTTCTCTGTTGAGAAGGTTGAACTTTCTTGTCTGTGTGTCTAGAAAGTTCATTTGGGGAAGAAGAGCAGGAAAATGAGTTTAATTTCCTTTTGATCTGGGAGGGTTAAGAATAGGCACCCAGTCAGTATAATAAGCAGATAAAAAGCAATCTGATAAACAATGAGCTCTAAAAAGTCTAGTATTTTATTGTGGGAACCTCAGATCCAACCTGTGCTGAATTTGTCTGTGTGGGTGGAGAGTGAATTTTTGCAGGCTGAATATCTGGGGTTTAGAAGTCGTTTCTCAGCCTCTCCCCTATTGCAGTGCTTAGCACATGTGTTCAGTTGTGGATCCCCACAAAACTGGCAATCCTGAACCCATGCACGGGGTGCTGTTCCAGAAGTTCATTTGCAAGTTTCCTTGGCCTGCAGAGTGCATTTCCCCCCAGAAACAATGTCATAAATTAAGGGTTGATTCCCCAGCCAGCCCACAAAATTCAATTGATTTAATTTCAACAAGTATTTGTTGAAAACCTACCATGATCCCAGTATGGGAAGTGAGATAGCTTGGTGCTGTTGAGAGAAACTAGATGCCATTCTTCACTGGAGGGAAGTCACATGCCAGCTAAGGGGGCAGTCCTGTCAATGGCTGGCATTCATTCATTCACACGCCTAATCACCAATATTTGTTAAGTATCTACTATGTGTTAAGCCTGACGCACAATGCTGGAGATAGTTCTTTCTTGTCTGTATGGAGCTTGAAGTCTAGTGAAGGAAAGTAGGTAAGTGTAGCAGTCAGTCTCTACTTCAATAGCACTGCATGACAAACAAACCCAAATTCTCAATGGTTTACAGGAACAAATACATATTTACATTTTTTTTTGCTCTTGGTCTATGGGGAGGAATGTGGGGGTCTGGGTCAAAACTTCAGGTTGAATTCAGTTTGCTTCACATATTTTTCTTCTGTAAACACTCTTGTTAACATAAATAACAAGCATAAGACACCAGGCTAAGCTATGTCATGATCTCAAAATCTGCATGGTATTTACTGATATTACATTGCTAAAGCCTGCCAACATAGCCAAGCCAACCTCCTCAATGGGGCAGAGGAATATATTAGACCTATTATAGTAGGAAACATTGTAAATGA